TGTTCCTTTAAAGCATATATTTTGATGAATTCCAAGATGCATAGCATTACATAGCATCTCTGTGAGAACATATATCCCAGAATGGAGATCCTTCAGCACTCCAGATGTTCTGGACTACATTTCATCTGATGCTTGGCTTGCATTATGGCATATAAGGTCCACAACATCTGGAGTGGTGAAGGTTGCCTGACCTTACGGCCTAGTAGCTCCTCATTTTACACGATTGTGTGCACTTGGCTCAACATTCCACATCATCAGACAGGAGACGGTATATCAGGGACAGTACAGCTTTGAATTATTCGAAACTTGACGTCAAAGTCCATTTGAATTAGGGTCACATTAGCTCTGGCATTAGTGTCCCCTTGTTGTCACTCACCACCTTCATGTTTTCTATGTCCTAATTTTGATACTGTTTATAAGGGTTGGTGTTAAGCTTTACGGCCCTGCGTGTAACTCAGTGATGTCGCCCACCCATCATTACTTAATATTACTTGATGTACAAAGGGGAATGTGCAAAATAGCGTTGCTGTTTTTTTTTTGGGGGGGGGGTTTATAATGTGTTCGAAATATGCAAAAATAAATAAAAATACCCATTTTGTGCTGAGCTTTCCAAACCAGGAAATGGCTAAAACATATCAGTTAATCCTAGTCTTTTCATTGCTTCCAAGGGAAGTAATAAATCTTTGGCCAGGAGGGATTAAAAATATGTAGTTCAATACTGGGCAGACGTTTTGCTATTTAAAAGACAGAACTAACAGAAGCCCCAGTGTGCCCCAGTGTGTATCCTTCTCCACTTCCTACTTGTGTGTCGCTTGTCATGCTTACGTATTCCTCTTCATACCCCGAATGTTTGCCCCTCAACATGGTAGGCCCCTCTTCATACCCTCCTGGTGGGTCCCTCTCCTTGCCCTCAATGAGATTGAGAATCTCAAACACCTTTAAAGGAACACTATAATCAACTAAATTACTTTAGCTAAATAAAGCAGTTTTAGTGTATAGATCATTCCCCTGCAATTTCACTGCTCAATTCACTGTCATTTAGGAGTTAAATCACTTTGTTTCTGTTTATGCAGCCCTAGCCACACCTCCCCTGGCTATGATTGACAGAGCCTGCATGAAAAAAAAACTGGTTTCACTTTCAAACAGATGTAATTTACCTTAAATAATTGTATCTCAATTTCTAAATTGAACTTTAATCACATACAGGAGGCTCTTGCAGGGTCTAGCAAGCTATTAACATAGCAGGGGATAAGAAAATCTTAATTAAACAGAACTTGCAATAAAGAAAGCCTAAATAGGGCTCTCTTTACAGGAAGTGTTTATGGAAGGCTGTGCAAGTCACATGCAGGAGGTGTGACTAGGGTTCATAAACAAAGGGATTTAACTCCTAAATGGCAGAGGATTGAGCAGTTAGGCTGCAGGGGCATGT